AATAAATAAATAAATAAATCTATTGAAATTCATACTTTTTTTTTCTATAAAGGCATTCTGATATTATTTACCTGGTTCATTACAGCAAGTTTGCATATTGATACTGACATGAGCTACAATAATACTACATACAGTTGAAATCAAATTTTCTATGTGTCTGAATTCATGCAAGAAAAATGTATTGGGTGGTTTTATTTTAACTCTTATGTGGTCAAGTCAATATAAAAACACATAGGGCTGACAAGATTAGGGTTAAATATAATTTATGACTGGTATACATGCAGTTTAAAATCACTGGACCATTCATGGTATGTTCTGAAACAATATTTAACTTGTCTGTGGAAAAGTCATGGTTTATTTGTTCATGATTGTTGCATTATGGTCACTTATGACATTGGCAATGAATAAGTCGGCAAATATACACCCTCCCCTTCCTCCCTCTTTCCCTCCTTCCTAAACAGTGGCATTCTTGATTTTATAATGAGTGCAGGTAAGGAGCATCACACTTCTCAGTTTACTCGAGTGTGACTGAATGTGACACATGTGCTAAGAAGTACGAGAAACAAAGAGATGATGCACCCAGTGCCAAGGTGTGGAATGCAGGCTACCAGCATAAGTCATTTACATGTGAATAATATCAATGCTTAATTTCCACATGTAGAATAAAGTACATACAAGATGGCAACTCATTTGTTGCTCATTGGTAACATCTAACAATTGAGCCAATCAAAAAATTTTTTTTTTATTTTTTGACTATTAGAGACCTAGAAAATACTGCAAGTCAAGTTCACCTCAGTAAGAAATCAGAATTAGTATCGACACCTTGATAGTAAGTGCACCTCTAACAAGTGCAATGTAGTAGAAATTAACGCATCAATAAACCACAGTAATGCCAGTGTCAGGCCCAATGGTGAAAGTATGCAAATTATATAGAAATATTCAAACCAGTGTTCATGTTCTCTTCTAAATCAACACAATACTTGCTAACTATAAAAACAACATGTTTTTGCCATTAGTTCCTATAGGATTTCCCAGCCAACAAAAACAAAGTTGAAGTAAAAGTTTTCATTTAGTCTACTCAAGAAACCCCATATTTATAGCGTCTATCAATGTTACAACTCCTTGAAGGGAATATGAAGAACATTTAGTACTGTAGTAAAATGGTAACCGATTGTCATTTTTGTGTATAACATTTACATATATAAAGTTGGCAACATTGGTATGCACTACAGTCAAATTTATTTAGTTTGATTTTAATCAACTCAAATAAATGTGAGTATTGTCTCATTATTTTCTTGACAAATATGCCAATTGTAGGAGTCGATGATCTACCATACAAATAATCTTCTATATATATACTTCCCTCCTCCGCCTGTCTATGAAGACAAATTTTAATGAACTTGACCTTTGATTGATCGCTACATTCAAAAACTAATCCACATAATTATTTCATTAAATTTTTCAAAACTTAAAATACAAAAAAGTGTTCAAAATGTTGTACCAAATTTTAGCGGTAAAAATGAAGCATTCAAATGGTAAACAGTAAAACCTGCAGAATTGTTTCAAAAAATGCAACCAAGATGTGTAGACAATGACACAATAGTAAAAAAATAAACAATAGAAAGATACATAAAAATACACAAAATGTCTGAATATCCTTGAATACTTTGGAATGCAGAACTTAATATAGGGACACTAAAAATAGTTCAACTTCAAGTGAACAACATTTTTATTGTGAATAATAATGTGCAATGAACAGTACTCTAAAGCAGTGAATAAAGCTCACATATGTAACAAAAAAATTACATAATAATATGAATGCATACAAAATTAAAGCTATTAATATTAAACTGATGGCCTAGATTCAGTTGGTGAAGTGACCTACATTTGAAACTATATAGTACCCCGGTACTCATGATGTATTAAATAATATTGAGCACCAAAGTCAATTTTACAAAATAAAACTATGATAACATAATTTTATGTAGACAATGGGAAAATAGATGTAATTATCAAAAACTAACAATTATAGAATATATGCAGAATTGTGCAAAATGTTACTGGGGAAATTGACAGCGTTCAATGGGGTTAAACAATTTGTTTTCACTTACATTTTAAATATAAAGGTAAGTAAAAGAAACCCAAATTCAAATCGGACCAATAGAAAGCGTAATTTTACTACCGGTATTATCTTTGCCACTACCATTGAGGAGCAACTAACCGATTCAAAACATTCTACATTCCTGCATATAAACTACGTCAGCAAAGCTATAATGAATGTCAACCATAATGTACTATCTTTTGTCTCCAAGGTATGAAGGTATTCACTGACTTTAATACAAAGTGAAGGTTGCCTAGAGGATAAAACAACACCACACCTCAAAGCTTAGTTAGGAGAGGACAGTACAACTTATAACAATCACAATTATGACAAGACCAGACTGGCTTTAACTAATTAAATATTATATTTTAATAAATGAGAAAACAATTTAAACATGAAAATGACAAATCAAAATAATTTGTCATTTTGTCATTGCAGGGTTGGTATTTAATGTCAAATAATTGAATTAATAGTTTTATGGACTGGATGATATCAAAGTGGCCGTAAGCACTGTTATTCAATAATGTGCTGCTGTGAATTAAGGGGTCGATGGAAATGATGGAAATTCTGACCATTCTACAGGGAAATTTTTTTTTTAAACTACACATGTGGGACAGTCTATTAAGAGGGTTATAGTACTTATACAAACTTGTTGTATCATACAACACAATGCAATACTTGACTAGAGATCAAAGGTCCAATACTTGACTAGAGGTCAAAGGTCACATTTTTATGATTCAATTCCAAAGAATCCACTGAGCCATAATATGAATATTAAGTGAAGATAATCTGAATTACAGTATGAAGGGCTGTTGAAGAGGGGCGTTTCCTGCACTTATGATTCACACTGTTTTTTTTTTTAGATAAAATCACAGAGAGAAGGAAAGATTGTATACTTTATACCAGACAACTAGACCACATCAGTTTGTATATGCTGTAGTACAATACTATAAAAGTGTTGAATTTTTTTTTTTATGCATATAAATCTGTTTAATGTGAATTTGAGCAGACCGAAATAAATTATAATTTTAAAATTATATAAACTACATGTAATTGGTAAGTAAACAGGCTTTTATGTTTGCAATGATACCTCAGATACTGTAAACCATTTATTTTTACTGGTATCTAATTTAGCTATTTTGATCCTAATCACTGGGTTTTTACTTCATGAATTTGGCAAGGAAACAAATTATTATTCTACATGTTGATGTGGATTCAATTTAGAAAATTTTATTTATAAGAAAAAATGCTAAAATTAACTTGTGAATAATTAATGCATTTATAGTAGACCCAGAGATCAAAGTTGTTTTCAATTGAAAAATTGTAGTTACCACATCACAATACAAACAATTCTTCGTAGAGGACTGTCACTGGTACATACATGAAAAATATGAATTGAGACTGGCTAGAAATTTATGTTTTTTGGAAGAGCTGTCAAAAGCCTTTGATGCCTCTATGAAGTTCAAGCCCGGTTTAATATCAGTATTAATATCAATAGTAAAGATAATGAAGAGGCTGTGCAATGTCAAACATGTAATCCATTCAAAATATGGTGTTAATAAATAATTCTAATCTGATACCAAATATTAGTGTCACAGTTGTTATACCACGTCAGTCATAGTCTAAAAATATGTGTGTAAACAAAAACTTCTGAGCTATCGATATGGTTATAAATACAACTTGGTCAATATGCAAATTGGCAACTTAGTATGCATTCATTAATTCCAAATGACACATTTAAACTCCCACATCTACATGAATGAATCAGGGTTATTTTTATGCTAATTGCACACAGCTGTTTCCATGGCATCAGGATCATGTGGCAGTTTCCATGGCATCCACTAAACCATAACATTGAGCAGAACCAGCACAAACAGCAATACATCTATCTTCTTTTGTACAGGACAAGCATTAAATAAAACTAAAAATAGATATTGAGATCTGCTTCCAAACCGAGCAATTACTTATAATTATTTTCTATTGCAACATTACTACTTTGCACAAGACAAATAAAAATGTCAGTCTAAAAAGTACTTTAATACTATTTAAATATTTTACTATCAAAACAGGTGTCCTTAACTACAATTTTGCTTAAATCACATTTTATTCATACAAATCCAGAATGAAACCAAAATTGGTCCACCAGTAATTACCGAAAATCACTCAAAGGTCTAAATAAGACAGGTTTTAATTAATATTTTAATTAAGAATCGAGCATACAATGCATCTCAATAGAGAAACTACTGTATCTGTTATATGGTACTGCTTAATTTGATTACCTTGAATACTTTTGCTCTGCTCAAAATAACTTTAAATATTGGGATATTCAGTTTAACCTTTTTACCCAAATTTGTTCTGCACTTTTTTTCTTATATTCTTCAATATTTTTGGAAATGAACGCTAATTTTGGAGCCAACAGACATAATTTGTGTCAATTCTCTGTTTTTACTAAAAAAAATTATTTCTATTATTCCAATCTTCGCAGACTATAAACAAGACTATTTTGTGAATTTGTGATGAAAAGAGGGAACTGGCGGTAAAACAGTTAATCATTACATATATCACACATAAAATGAAGTCAAAAATTGACTATAAGCAGGATCATTAAGTATTATACATTATTCTGATTTATCATCTGTCATTTATATAGGCGCATATGTGCGACTAAATATGGTAAACCATTTTTGTTAGAGACACAATGTAAAAATCGCATCAAAAACTTTTTTTTTTAAAAAGAGACAAAGTATTATTATTCCAATCCAATCCAATTATAATTATTGATCAATCAATCTGTAGTTGTCGTACATTTGTACATATTAATCCACCCACTGCCACCCCCTTTAAGCATGAATGCATAAATTATGTATAAACCATTAAAGCACATGTCCAAAGTACTTACCTTATTATTTTTGGATTTGATGAGCATAGAAGGTTTACCAGTTGCAGCATTCTCTCCAGTGAATGAGTAAGTCAGAACTTTCTTGACTTTTCCACCGGCTAACCTCCGAAGAGGAGTTTTCACAACCTCAACTGGGCTTTCTTTTTCCTTCACAGGGGATTCTATTTTTCCAGTGTTAGCGTCAATAGTAATTGTGTTACCATTTTCAAAAGGTTTTGTCACATGGTTTTTATTGCTATTTCCACTATTTACAACAGAGACTGGCATCTTCTCAGGCAATGATGGTGGAGTCAACAAATCGTCAATATTACTGACAGGAATAGAGTCAGTATCATCATTTTTATACAAGTCTATGTGGTTTTGTTTACTACCCACCGACAGAGAAATCGGTTTTTGAGATTCTGGCACTGGTGGTGCCGAGGATTTAGGTTTAAATTTGTGTATTTTTGGCGTAACATGAAAAGTAGTACCTACAGATTTGAGCTCCTCAACAGCCTTTCTTACTTCAGATGTTGAACTATTACTTTCAGTTTGTTTTTCAGTTTTAATTTGTTTATCAACATGTGTCATAGTAATCGTTTGTTTTCTGACGTCAGCCAGCTCTGATGTTGATCCCACGCTGTCATTATTTGTTTTAGCAGCTTCATTGGTTCCATTCCATGATATTTGTCCAGGAGATGCCGATTCCTTCGTAACTATAGTTATGTTGGCACTTGCATTCTGTGATGGCTGATCATGCGTTTCAAACGTAATCTGTGTTGGAGGAGGGGGTGCTTGTCTTTTACTGATAGCTGGAATTGTAACACTTTCAGCATTTTGTTGCTGATCAAACTGTGACATGGATATAGTACCAGACTTGTTCAATTTAACTGACCGGACATCTTGACTTTCCTCCTTTTTTTTCTCATTCTCCTTTTTTCTTGCTAAAGAAAGTACTCGCGGATGTGCATAGTTGGCAGGCTCTTCATTATCCAGTCTAATTATTGTACTGGCATCTAATTTAGTCTTTTTTTTCCTAGGTTTGGGAGTTGGTTCAAGTTGGGATTTATTGGGTTCTTGCTTTAAAGGCACAATAGTTTTATCGTTCTGTTCATTAACACAGGTGGTTTTGGAGCATCAGCTTTTGGTGGATCAACAGGTTTCTCATATCCAGCTGTTGTATTTACAACTACAGTTTCTTTATACTGATTAACTGAAATTGGAAGCTTTTCTGACTGTTCCTGGTTTTTTGTTTGTTTTGACCCTTTGCTAACAATATTGCTATATGCTGCTGGTTTCATTATTTTATGATTCCTATCTAGGCTATTTTTCCGCATCCTGGTCACAACCAGATCATCTTGCGAAGCTGGCTTTCCAAAAAGACCCAGTAATTTATTCACTCGTCCATGTTCAAATTGCTCATTGTCAGGACTTGTCAGTGTTTCAGCATTCAACTCAGGTTCTGCATCTTTAAATACGAACTGTCTTTTTTCTTTTGGACTTGGTGAAAGACTTCTTCTGTCCATGGTAAGTTTCTGTGCTGTTGGTTGTTTTGCCGGCACAACACGAGGTTGTTCGGGCCTGTGCTTGGGAATGATAATAACTTCGGGCTTATGTGTTTTGTTTAGACTGGAATAGTTATTGTGCACAGTTGTTGACGATTCTGTTTTATTCAGTATTGTATTATTATTTGCATTATTTGCAGCCTTTGTATTGATACTAGGCTTCATGTTGACGGCAATGACCTCGCTGTGTATTTCTGCACTGTCTCGTTTTGAAGCGAGCGAGTCTTCGCCGACAGAACTCAATCGTTTACGTTCCTGCCGCAGAAATGGGTTATCGTGCACTGACGAACAATGTTCCTCGGAAACGCCATCGTCTTTTGGCATTCCGACAGTAGGTTTTTTTTCTTGGGTGGTTGCATGATCAACGACTGTAACATTGCTAACAACGCCGACACCGATACTGGGGCCGGGCTTTACGTTCACAGCTGAGTTTCGTACAGTCTTGTTACCTAGATCGTGCGTTGTACTTACATTTCCGGCTTTTGGCGTAACCCTCCAACTATTTACCTGTGCTCCCGAACGCTTCCTAAGTAATAAATCCCGTTTCCATGCCGGTATAATTTCTAGTTTGGCTTCTTCCTCCTCTTGTCGCTTTCGTTCTTCCTCTTCGCGTTGGTGTTTCTTTTCGAGCAACGCCAATTTCCACGCCGGTACAGTCATTTTGCTGACTTCTCTTACGTATCCTAATCACAAATGGGTAGAAACACTTGTCGTAGTTAATAATTAAACGACACAAATCAAACTTTTCGGCGTGAAATAGACATAAGTCACTTCGTCAATAATCTCCAGGTACACAGGTTTGAAAATTAACTCGGATCGACCTGGGTGACGTCAACCCGGAACGACCAACCCAACTCACGTAGATTCCCGCGAGAAAACGCGTGATGTGCGGCTACATTGCCGTGGTTTCTTTTTTGAGGCCCACTTGAGGTATTTTGCAAACAGTTACAATTTAACGGCTATAATTAATTCCCATCAAATTTTGAAAATAACTTTGAAGACTCAGACATGCTGAAAACGTGCATATAACGTATTTCTTCGACGTAGTGTAAAAAATGAAACGTACGTTGCTATTGGTTGATTGAATTGTTTGTTTTGTCAAATTTTCACATGATATCTTGTTAAATAAGTAAATGTATAATTAAATAATATGTTTAAATAACAGTTTACTGCCCAAAAGTAAACTCAATTCTTAACAATATTTTATATAACTGTTGACAAAAGTATGGTATATAATCTCTCATCTCGGCCAATCACAAAGTTTCTTACAAACGTAGTTTGTCATCTCACCGACACGCAGATCGCCGCGATCGATCGCCGCGCTGCAAACCAACCGAATAGCGCCACCTGTGTTGACACAATGCACCATCGCCGGTGATTGTATCCGCGAAGTAAAGTTGCTAAGCAACAAGTGTTACGTACTGACGCTCAGGGACATACAGTCACAATCGAGCAGTACAGTCTGAGTCTGACATTTGGGTTCGGTGCACTTGTTAT